TTCATCCATATAAATAACTTTCTAATGGCTAACGCTCTTAGTTTCCTAGACATAGCTGCCTCCTAAGATCGTAAATTAGTGAGAGAAAGTCTCATGAATGTAACAGATGTACCAAGGCTAATATAGATCAATTATACGCCACCAATTATGTTACTTATGACGAACTAAAAGATTAGGTTGCTTATCTTAAACAGATTATTAGGCCACCAATTGCATATGCTTTTCCGATTTATTTGAGATTTCACCCCATCAAATGTAAAGTTCTCGCCTTTGAGAGAAACGAATGCAAAGATTCTGTTTGGGTCTTAAGCCCATTCGAAGAGAAGATGTACGCATTCATGAATCCAAGTAGTTTACTTACGAATAACGAAAAGGGTTAGATTTCCGATCTACAAGTTGATTAAGAGACCATTTATTGCGTATAATTTTTCAAATTTGGCTGGGATTCCTCTGCATCAAAATGAAAGGCTTCGGATTTCCAAGTGGAAGATTCATAGATCCCGTTTGAGTTTAAGCTCAACTCGAGGAAAATATGGAACATGACGCATATCAAGATAATGTATGAATCCATCGACTTCTGCGGTATAGATAATTTTTCTAATGGCTAGCTAGTATGAATCATCAACTTCAGCCAACTTATAGATACCTTGTAAATGGCTAGCACTCTTAGTTTCCTAGACAGAGCTGCATTCTATGATAATAACTTGATGAGAGGAAGTCTTGTGCTCGAATTAGATCTGCGTTGCACGATCAACGAAGAGAGTAACAACTTCTCTCCCATCATCGAATGTTTGGGACGCTTGCATTAGATCGCAATATCCGATGTAGCATCCATGTAAATATTGTAAATAGTTGTTTAGTTTCTAGGCTAAGGTCCGTTTCTCTCTTGAATTATAGCTTCCAAAGAATCTGGTAGGTTAGATAAACTTAGAAAAATAAGAAAATTATGCTAAGTAGATTTAAGAACTAATGTTACTTTTCAAGTTATCAAATGATTTTTGTAAGGATACGAATGTAAAATGCGATTCCGGTAAATTTTATGAAGAAGACTTGGGATTTAATCCGCAATTTATTACATAAAACAGTCAGCTCTGAAAGGCCTTCTTCGAAAAGTCTGATAACAAATGACACTTGGAATCAGAGTGTTACACATCCCAGACAATCTGGCCAGAGATCTTTCTGGGAGCGAACTGCTGCTTATTTTCCCACCACAAGTTTGAGTTAAGAATCAATTAGGACATGATTACTGTTCCCTGTAGGGAATGATTTCCAGTTTCAAATGAAAATCAAATAAATTTCGAATTTTCAATTCATGAAATGGGTCAATCGCGTCCTATTCTTGGCTGTTCTTGAAGTTCTTGCAATTCGTCATTTCTTCCGCTTCTTGATTGTAATTTCATTGTCTTCAGTGCTGCTAATTATTTCTTCGGCATTATTGAAACCTTTTTCTTCTACAATACATTTTATTTCTTCTGAACTCGATTGACCAAGATCTTAAAATAATTTCACCAAAAGTTGTATATAGAATTTTCTAACTACTTACCCCAATTTCCTAATCCGACATCTTCAATTCTAAAGAAATTTACATTCTTTATTTAGAATCGAATTCATAACTTTTTTCCTTGTAAAAAATGTGTTTGGCTTACATTAATTACCCATTTAAGATACAGAGAGAGTTCTCTTTTTACATTTCCCAGAATGCCATTAAAAATCCATGCCAACAAGGGCCATAAAAATGACCATACACGCATGTCCATTTCATGATATAGCTCATAATTCACGTTCGGCAAAGATTAATAGATTCCAAAAAAAGGCGGCATAATATAGATGTGGTAAAAAAGCTTGCCAAAAATAAAAAAAAACACACAAAACTGGGATTTTCACACATAAAATAAATACGTTATTTAGAGCCGACCAACCAACCATCCATCTGTCCATCCGCCTTATTAAGTTTTCAAAACAGACAAAAAACAAAAACACAATTGAATGCTAATTTTCAAATTATATATGCGCGAACAGTAGACAATAAAATACAACTACAACACAACAACAACAACAGCTCACACATAAAACGTGAGTATGTCAATGAATAAATTTAAAAAAATTATTTTTATTTTTCGAAGGCGTCAAGCAAAACAGTCATGAAGATGGGCAAAAATAAAATGAATTAAAATAAACTAAAAATATTGCATGGGAGAAAAATGTTATTTGGGGGAAACGAAGTGAGACATATAAACCTATGAATGGGTTACGTAGGAACATTGTAATTACATTACGCCTTCCACTAATTTAGCAAATAAGTAATAAACACATCAAAGCTGGACATTAATTGAACGCAGTCAAAAACAATGTAGAGGAGCTTAGACAGGCAACACAGCCAAAATGAGAGTGATGAGATGAGAGAGAGAAAAAACCAAATGAGCGCCTATAGATGGAGAGAAGACAAAATCGTTTGTCAACAGAGAAGAAGTTTAGAAGTCTTGTGTGTTTTGAGAGCTTAACGTTTTTAGAAGTGTTATTATCTAATGAACTGTGAAATGTAAATATTTTAAACGCCATTTTATTTATTTAATGGACCTAAATAATATCTAAAAAATATACATAAACTAAAATAAACAATAAAAGTGTTTCAATTGCTAAAGGTAACCAAACCTATGCAAACCTACATAAATTTTGTACTGAAAAGTGAAACAAGTTAAAAAGTATCTGTAAATTTTTTCGACAGAGCTCAGCCAAAGTTCAATTATTTAAATATATTTTGACTTCTGTTATGATTAGTTAAATTTTTGATCCTCTATGGCGTAGGTTCCAAAGAAATGGGCCAATATTGACCATTTCGTATCGGACCTAAATAAATATGATATAAATATTGCGAAGTGTCAGGTTTGGATTCCTTCACTATACAGGGTGAGATGAAAAAACTGCAATCAACTTCAGACTTGCTTTCATTTCTAAGCCACGCGTCCTACAGCTGTTAAAATCATCAGAATAAATGCCGATTATTATAGCGAAAATATTCTAGAGGGTGTATTAAAGCCTTGGGCACGCAAACATTTTGCCCGCAGACCTTGGACATTCCAACAGGACTTCAGCACCATCGCACTCATGCGCAAGCGCCACTCAAGAATGGTTACAAAATGAGGTTCCTGACTTCATTTCCAGTGCACAATGGCCACCAAAAGTCTCCGGATACCAATCCGTTGGACTAATGTGTCTAGAGTATTTTGAAAAGCAAGGTTGGCACTAAAAAGTACCAAAGTGTCCGTTTGAAGGCCATAATTCGTGTCAAAGGTGATCAATTCGAAGAAATCATATTCATCTCAGGTTTCTGGTTGCGAGAATTATTTAAAAATACGAAGTTGTAAAGAATCACTGACTTGTTTCGCAAGTTTTGGCAGAAATAAATTTTGAAAATTGTGGCCCTTTGTGGATGAGGTACCAGAGAACCCCTTCATCTTCAGAACTTGTATTAGCAAAAATGTTTGGCTGTGTGAAATTTGAAGAGAGTTGGATGCTCATTTCGGTTTCTTTGGGAGTTTTGTTTTTCAAAATTTTAAACCCCATATAGGGGGAGGTGCCAGTAGGAATGGTTCGATTTCTAATCTCTTTATAAAAGATCTTGTGTTGAAAGAGATATTGAGATGTGCCAAGTCTGAATGGAATCGGATATTAATTTGGCGTTTTAAGAGCTTCATGATTATTCAAAATTCTGACACTTTGTGGGGGAGGTACCAGATAGAATTGACCGATATATTCCATCTTCACAGCAGATCTTGTGTTTGTACTAATATTGGGATGTGTGAAAAAAATAGAGCATAGGATGGTTATTTCTGATTTTATGATCGTTCTGGTTATTCAAAACATTGACCCTTTGTGGAGGAGGTACCAGAAGGAGTGGACCGATAGATCCCATCTTCACAACAAATCGTCTGTTTAGTAGAAATAATGGGATGTGTGAAATATGATGAGAACGGGATGCTTATTTCGGAATTTATAACCGTTTTGGTTATTCGAAACTTTGACCCTTTGTGGGGGAGGTACCAGAAGGAATGGTCCAATCTCTACCATCTTCATAACAGATATTGTATTAATGGAAATATTGAGATGAACCAAGGCTGAATGAAATCGGATGTTTATTTTGCCTTTTATGAGCTCCGTGGTTATTCAAAATTTTGACCCCTTGTGGTACTTGACGGAGTGGACCGATATATTTCATCTTCACACCAGACCTTGGGTTAACAAAAATATTGTGATGTGTGTAATTTGAAGACAATCGCTCTCTAACATCACATTTTATAAGACTTATAATTATTTAAAATGGTGACCCTTTGTGGAAGAGGTACATGATGGAATTGACCGATATTGTCCATTTTTTGCATCTGACCAGACACTGATGGAAATATTCGGATTTGCAAAGTTGGAGCAAAATCTGATTATTCTTTCTCTTTATGTGCAGTACGATATATTTATTTTTTTTAAACTTCGGGAGGTACCAGAAGGAGTGGATCGATATTGCCCATCTCCGAACTCGATCTAAGTTTGACAATAATATTAAGATGTACCAAGTTTGAATCAAATTGGATAGTCCCTTCGAGAGTTATCGTGCACACCAGCCAGGGAGGCAGACAGAGAGACGGACGGATATCGCTAGATCGACTCCAAATGTCGTGAAATGGATTTGGTCCAAAGAGACCAAGGGTCTAAAATTCTTATTTCGGTGAGACATGTTTTGTCCGTATAAAATGATGTATACCCTCTCTTGGCATATGGCTGAGGTTATGAATATAAATAAATTACTTTAAATATTGATGAAAATATTGCATGCTAGAAAAAAGTCGGTCATGAAGATAAAATTTATATCATGAGAGAAAATTATATTTATAGAGCAATTTGCGCAATTTGCATAAGAATAATGGAAATGATAATCAAATTGCATTAATTAAAAAAACATATTTTTTCCAATTTATAATTTTTTAATTATTTATTTTTTCTCTTTCCAGATTTACAATCGATACGCCGTTTATTGGAACACGATACCAGCTCCTCGGTATGTCCCAGCTGTCGCATATCGTTCGACAAAGGCAAACGGCGAAAACTGATCGATACCTGCGGTCATGAACGTTGCTATTCCTGTATGTTCCGCAACGACCAGTGTCCAATGTGCATGAATACCTCGCTCAAAGGTAAGAATGCAAAGCACATTTTCTATTTTCAAAATATTCATTTATTTAGAAAGGTGTTGTCCGACTTCACACCTCTTTCAATAAGTATTTTGAAAGATAATTTTTTTTTTCATATAAAAAAATATTTTGAATTTTTTTTCTTTGAAATTCGAATTTGTGATTAATTAAAAATGAAATATCTCCGGTCACCCTATGGTCTCAACAAGCAACCAACCACCTCTAATCTATAATTATAATGTAAAAAAACCAACATTGTGTTATTATAACACTTTACAATATAACTTGCCTTTTTAATTTCAAAAATCTATTTGCAACCGCAATCAGTTGGTTTTTCGATCTTTTTTTATCGCCAACTTTACAAATGTGATTTGGTTGGTTGGGGAGGGGGAGGATATTTTTTTTTTCATCTATCTATCACACCCATTTTTTGTGATTCGTGCAACTGTTATTGTTTTGAATGCAATTATGTTAAATATCGTAAATAAACCATTAAAGGTCACATTGGTAACACTTGTTTTACACCGCGCAGCCACTTAGATGCAGTATTAGATGTCATTGTGGAGGTATTAGGGGTCGGACATATAACATTTACATAGGAACCTTCAAACAATATTTTAATAAACCATAGTTCTTAGAGATTCCTATCTTACATTAAAAAAAATATTTCCGATTTTTGGAGACCCTCAAAAGAATTTTTTTTTAAATCCGGATATTTTGGAGACCAATATTTAGAACAATCCTAATAATAAATCCTAATAGATAACACTGCGAGTAAAAATCCAAATTTTTTTATAATATCGTAATTGGATTGTAGATCCTCATCCAATATTAAAAAAATATATATTTTCGATTTTTGGAGATCCTCAAACAAATTTTTTTGTTAAAAACCGGCGATTTTGGAGACTAATATTTAGAAAAATCTTAATATTTTTGGTCCCTAATAGATAGCACTGTGAGTAAAAATTCAATTTTTTTATAATTGCATGAATGGATTGGAGATCCTCATCCAATATTAAAAACAAAATATTTTTTCGATTTTTGGAGATTCTCAAAAAAATGTTATAGCCTCAGCTATGTGGCTAGAGTGGGTATCTACCATTTGATACGGCCAAAAAGTGCCTCATCGAAATAACGGTTTTAGACCCTAGGTTTCTTTGGACCAAATCCGTTTCAGGACATTTGGAGTCGATCTAGCGATGTCCGGCCGTCCGTCTGTCTGTCTGACCGGCTCTTACGCACGATAACTCTCGAAAGGAGTATCCAATTTGATTCAGACTTGGAACATCGTAATATTATTGTCAAACTTAGATCGAGTTCGGAGATGGGCAATATCGGTCCACTCCTTCTGGTACCTCCCACACAAAATGTCAACATTTTCAAAGAAAATAATTTACTACACAGAAAGAGAAAGGATAATCCAATGTTGCTCCAACTTTGCAAGTCCTAATATTTACATCAGTGCTAGGTCAGGTGTGAAAATTGACATTATCGGTCAACTCCATCAAAAGTACCTCCCCCACAAAGGGTCAACATTTTGAATAATTATAACTCTTATAAAATGTGATGTAATAACCCGATTGTCTTCAAATTACACACATAACAATACTTGTATTAACCCAAGGTCTGGTGTGACGATGGAATATATCGGTCCACTCCTTCTGGTTCCTCCCCCACAAATGGTGAAAATGTTGAATATCCACGAAGCTCATAAAAAAATTAACATCCGATTCCATTCAGACTTGGTACATCTCAATATTTCCATAAACACTAGATCTGTTATAAAGATGGTGGAGATCGGACCATTCCTTATGGTACCTCCCCCACAAAGGGTCAAAGTCTTAAATAACCAAAACGATTATAAAGTCCGAAATAAGCATCCGGTTCTCTTCATATTTCATGCATCCCTTTACTTCTACTAACACAAGATTTGCTGTGAATATGGAATATATCGCTCCACTCCTTCTGGTACCTCCTCCCAAAAGATGTCAAAATTTTGAATATCCATGAAGCTAATAAAACGCAAAATTAACATTCGATTCCATTCAGACTTGCTGCATCTCAATATTTCGATCAAACCACGATTTGTTATAAAGATGGTAGAAATCGGACCAACGGATTGGTATCCGGAGATTTTGGTGGCCATTGTGCGCTGGAAATGAAGCGAGGAACCTCATTTTGTAACCATTGTTGGGTGGAGCGTGCTGAGTGCGATGGTGCTGAGTCCTGTTGGAATGATCAAGGTCTGCGGCCAAAATGTTTGCGTGCCCAAGGCTTTAATACACCCTCCAGAATATTTTCACGATATGCTTTAATACACCCTCCAGAACATGTTCGCGATAATATTCGGCATTTATTCTGATGCCACGGTCGATTAATACGAGCGGAGAGCGACCATCGGCTGTTATGGCGGCCCACACCATCACCATGGCCGGCGCTTGAGTTCTGGTGGCCAATCGAAGGTGCACTTCTTCAGCTGACCTCTTTGGCAAGTAAACACGATAATTTTGTTTGTTTACCAACTGCTGGACAACGAAGGTTTTCTCATCGGCGAAACCAAATTCGGCGGTTCACCACTTTCGGCCAAGTGAAGCAACTCTTTAGCTCATTTGAGTCTATTTTTTTCTGGTTGCGGTGTAAGTTCTTGCACTTTTTGGAATTTCAATGACTTTACCCGAGCTCATTTTTCAATATTTTCCGAATGGAATATTGTGATATGTTCAGCTCACAAGCCATTTTTGGGCCACTGAGACGCTGGTTTCGATCAAGTCGCTTTTTTACTTTTCGAACCATTTCTGCTGATGTTGCTGTTTTGTTCCGTCCACTTCCTTGACGTCGGGCTACGCTACTAATAGCGTACCGGTAACGAGCGATGCTACGATACACAAAAGATTTATTCACATTTAAATGCTGGAGTGCTCTAACGATAGCCACTTGTGGTTTTCCAGCCAAATATAAAGAAATCACATTATCACGCTTGAATTCCATCACGAATAACTTTTTTTTCTGGAAAATTCTCACCGCAATTCTTTTGTGCGCTTGTAAACTATATAATAAGCTGTCCCTGGAATAATTTCAACAGCAGTCGGATGAGTGGCTTAGAAATGACAGCAGTCTGAAGTTGGTGGCAGTTTTTCGTTGCATTGCACCATTCCCTCGGAACCTACTACCATAGAGGGTCAACATTTTGAAAAATCATAACAAAAGTCACAAAATATTTTTAAATAGTCGAACATTGACTGAGGGTATACATCTGTCGGCAAAACCGACTGATACTTTTTAATCTGTTTTCTATTAAATTTTACCAAATTTTGAATTCTACGTTACTTTGAAAGGCTACTAGAAAAAATATAATATTGGTCATGTAGGTCCACGTTTTCATGTAGCCCCCATATTACGGTACCCCCCTGATATTCGGTATTTTGATGATTTTAGCGACATGATTTACCGGAATGGTTTCAAAATTGGTATTTGAAGTTCGTAATGGATACTACAGCCCATGACAGAAAATGGGCCATGTAGGTCCACGTCTTCGTATATTCGGTATTTTGACGATATTTGCGACATTCTTCACCGGAATTGTTTCGAATTTGCTATTTGAAGTTCGTAATGGATACTACAGCCTATGCCAGAAAATTGTCTGTGCAGGTCCACGTCTTCGTATAGGCCCCATATAACGGTACCTCCCAATATTCGGTATTTTGATGGTTTTTGTGTCACTATTCACCGGAACTGTTTCAAATTACGTATTACGAGTTCGTAACGGGAACTACAGTCTGTGCCAGGAAATTGTCTATACAGGTCCAGGTCTTCGTATAGGCCCCATATACCAGTACCTCCCTATATTCGGTATTTTGACGAGTTTAGGTACAATACCCACCGAAATTGTTTGAGATGTCGTATTTGAAGTTCGTAATGGATGCTATAGTCTGTGACAGAAAATTGTCTATGCTGGTCCAGGTCTTCGCACAGCTCCGATATAACGGTACCTCCCTATATACGATATTTTGATGATTTTAGCTACACTATTCACCGTTTATTTCAATTTTCGAATTTGAATATGGTAATGGCCTCTGACAAATAATGCCTATGTAGGTCCACGTCGTATAGACCCCAATATAACGGCTATAATCGGTATTTTTAAAATTTTAACAGAATTTTTTAAGGAGTTTATTTTTTGAAAATTTCCAATTTCCTTCCAAATGGTGGAGGGTATTTAAAGTTCAAACTCGCTGAACTTACAGCATTTTTACTTGTTATTTTATAAAAAAATAAATTAAAAACAGTCAACATTTTTTTATAATCCTCGCACTTTTTCTTACCCCCAATATTTGGCTTTTTCAAACCACATTTAAGTAAATTCGCATATAAATTGTTTTGAAAACAAAAAATAGAGTTTTTTTAGACTCAATACTAAACAAAAGTAAATTAACAATAAAAAATATACAAAAAAAAAATAGCCAGAGACGTATCCTCTACAAACTCATTTGGAGGGGCGGCAATGAGAATTTCCATCTCAAATAGCAGTTTTTGTTTAGATTTGAACTTGGATTCTAATTGGAATTCTTTTTATTTTTTCTTTCTCAAACCCAACGAGGCATTTTATGGTTATTTTGTGTAATAAATATTATCAAGAGTGTCATAAATTATTGTCAGAATTCAGGTGTTGTTAGTGTTGTTGATGTAACGACGATCAGCCATCCAACCACCCCCTTCCTCCCCTCTCTTCCCTTCATCCCAAGAACTTAGACTAAGTTTTAAATATGAACTGAGTTGGATGGATTGGATGTTAAAAGGCCATGGCAAAAAAACTAGCAGCATTGTTGTTGCAATAGCTGCCTGTGTTGGTGGGTTGTTGTTGTTGTTGCTGGTGTTGTAAAGTCGATTCGAAGGCCTCTGATTTTTTTTTTAACTCGCAGATCGTTGATATTAAGATTTGTTATTGTGTAATTTGAATATCTAACAAGTTTATGAACTGTTTTTTTGTGTTTTTTATTTAGATT